AATGGCCTCTATTTCTCCTTCAATAGCGGATCTATTGTGTATGTGTATCAAGTATGACCTGATGGATATATTAACAAGATTCCCTTCTTCTAATCATACCTCCCCCCCCCTCCCAAAGAACCTAATTTGCAAAATAATGGACAATAATAAAGTTATCATTGAAAGTACTAACCTGTGTAATTTCTGATTTGACCCTATTGAATGGGCGTCCTTTCACCATAGCAACGTGGTTAGTTTCTTCAGGCGACAGAGCATACTCCCTGGTGTAAGCTCCAGTCTGCATAGCTGAAGTGATGGGTAGTGGTATTCCTGACTTTTGACCTGACCCAAGTGACTTTCGAGGAGCAATGAGTGACCTATTGACGTGAATCTGTTGAGGCGTGTTGGGTTGATGCGAAGTGCGCGTTGGTGATAGAGGGGTGAGGGGTTGTTTGATTGAAGAAAGTTGCGGTGAAACAATCGGCATCTTTTGACCTCCGCGGAAGATATGACGACCAGAGTGTGGGGTAGATGGTGCCTTGATTCCACTAGCGCTTCCATTGTGATTATTATTTCGATTATGAGCTTTAGAGCTCCCGTTGTGCAAACTAAGTGGAAGGAAACCTTCAAACCATGACTTGTTACTGAGCCTGAAAGAAAAGTAAACGCAGCAATTTAATAAAAGTCAAACAATTTCACCCCATGGGTCAAGATTTTAAACTTCTTGAGGACCAAGTAGTATTATTTCATACAAAGTCATTCTTTTGAAAAATTCGAATAGTTGTTCTTGAATAATGAACGCTAGCCAATGACATATCGGAAAAATGAACAATATACATGAAAATGAATTGCAGTTTTTAAGTAATCGGTGTTTTTGAGACCAGATAGAACAAGTTTTAACAGATAAATTATTATCATTTAAGCTACCTTTAAATAACAGTGTTCGAGCAATGAATTTTCAGTCTCCTCAGAAAAAATGGCTTAGTAACTCCAAAATTAAATAATTTCAAAATGAATTCAATAGATGAGAAAATTTCACTATTGTCAAAGAGGTTTACTCAAAATAACATCTTATGGGCCTTTTACAGTCTCGGTCACGCTTGTACCACGAAAATGGTTTTAAATATTGCTTTAATTCTGTCAATTAACCGAGCTTTTGTAGTAGAGGCACAGAGCCATTTTACTCGCATAATAGTTCATCGGATTAAGATATGGAAAATTCAGGGGCCAGATTTCATTGGAAATACTATAGCAGTTGAATGACCTATCAATCATCATTCAGCATTTCTCGAGGTGCAGCAGAAGGCGGTCAAATCCTGCTGACATCATAAAATGGTCTCTTTTTGCCTCTCATCGGCCGTTAACCAAAGCATGTCTTCAACAGTGGTCAGAGATTCCACATAGGCGTTTGAGTTCAGCTATGCCTCTCTTTAGAAAATTTGAGAAGGAGGATACATTTACTGAAACATGATATTGGCACATTTGGCAATATCTTGGATATCTTGGACTCTATGCAAACAAACCAATTCGTTACTCATCTTATTTTCCTTTTGAGGGGTGTGCGATAGACTTACCTCCACGTGGTGCACCCTGGGCAACGTATATTCATACGGCAAAAAGGTCTATGAACCGGCAGTTGATTTCTGAGTTCAAGCTATCATGACCCCACTGTATGTCATATTCGACTATTTTCACAGTACTCACCTCACCTTTCATCTACCTTTGTGTCTGTCTCTTTTACATCTTTAAAACACTCCTCTGTTCTCCCCCCCCCCACTCTCGACTTTTTTCGAGTTGATGTTCCTCTCCCTCTGTGAAGCCTGAAGTCAACTAAAGGAATAATGATAGCTATCATAAAGCCTGTCATTTGGTATAAATTTTCCTTTTGATCTTGGTGAAAGAATTTCTCACCGGAAAAGAACTAAGTTATTTGCGCTTCTTTTAATCAGAGGAGTCTCCTACCGGAGTGCTTTCACAGTGTTTGGGGGAACATTGGGCAGCGACCACAATCTACTTATTAATCCCATTAGTTTACCTCAATAAGTTTGGCTTGAAAGTCGGTATTCAAGAAAGTTTCAGGCATAGATTCTATGCTCTTTTTATTTGCAAGGCAATCATTTTTTCTAAGATTTTTAATTGAAAGAAAATTAATCTTCTTGGGTTATTTGGTACAAAGCTAGGTAAATAGACTCCAACATTGTCGCTTTAGGCTTGCATATGAAATCGAACAATTCCTTTATATAAAGGTGTGGAAAGGGTTCACTTAATAAATCCTATTAATTAAAGACAATCGAACACTATTTTATTAATTACTATAGTTATTTGGGAGTGAAATCTTTTAAAACAACGAGTTAATAGGCTTCTTTGATAAATTTTTTTCAGTGCAGTAAAATGTCATTAGTTCTTATGGGAGATCAAAGGATATGCAAAATTACTTCTGTTTTTTTTACCCAAACATTAATGTAGCGTTCATTTACCAAAGAATTTGCCTACACGCGACACAAAATATTTGATTCACTTAGCAGCAAAAAATGTATCGTCTTGAAATGGTGGTATACTTCACTAAGAAAAGGCAAACCAATTATATGTTGAATTGTGGGAAAAGCAATTGAGTATTCCAAAAGCGGGAGAGGCGGGTGGGATGGATTTGGGCGGGGGGGGTGAGAGGAGGTGAGAGGGGGGTGGTAGTAGCACGAGGAGCAAAAAATGGAGTCAAAATTTGGGGGCGGTTTTCAGGCCTGCAGAGCTTATTGTTAAATTATATAACTTCACTCTAATAAGAAAAATGTCTTCGCCATGAAATGCGTGTTATACTTTTTCCTCCCTATTTCCACACTATTAAATAATGTACTGCCTATTAGCAGAATTGGCAGATGAGCTCTCCAGATAATTTCCATATTAATATTACTGGATCTACAGAGTTATTCCGTTACATTGTGCCAATAAATGTAACCTCAATCACAAAGTATTTACTACGCCTGAGTGTTAAAAAATCAATAAATATGGGGGTGTTAAATAACGTATTGATTAACGTTGGACTAACACCAACCATCCCTTAGGAAAGTGTCAGACCATGCGCAGTGTTGATTATCTCTAAACATTTAAGGTTAATTTCTGGATTTAATGCGAATGTTAAAACGAAATGTCATTGTTCTTTAAGTGATCTTAGACAAAACCACTAACACCCTTTTGATAAGTTAATTACACAAAGAGATCATTTGAAGTCATCAACCAACTTAAAACCACTTTATATTTGGTACATTTTAAAAAAATTCATACAATGGTTCGAATTTGATAGCCAAAAAAATGTACAAAGAGGCTTAGAAATGTGAGACAGGATATTTTTTGAATTTTTCTCAAATATTGACTTCTTCTTTTTACACGGATAAATGAGTCTTCATAATGTTTGACTCAATTTTGAGTCCAGCAATTTTATTTGAACGCTTATTGCGAACCCACTTGGATACGAACTGGCAAAACGAATGCCTTAATTCCAATCTCTAGGAGCACCTATCAACATTAATTAGAGTTTTGAGATGTATTTTCATACCTTATTTAGATGGCAACTAAAAACATCCAATAAAGTAGATCCGAAATATGAAAATATTTAGCGACCAGAATAGAAATAAATTACTTTGGAATGTTTGGCATTTATGTGGCAAATTTTCTTCTATCTTCATGCACTATACTTCATTATATTGTGTCATTACAGTATGCTCTTAGAGTAAGTACTATCTGAAATATAGCTAAAGTTAAAATTTAGTGTTTTTGAAGAAATGTGGATCATTAAAGTCAAATTCCACTAGCTTACAGTGGAGAAGGCTCAGGTGTTGTAGTTGAACTAGGACGTGAGGAGTTCTTCGACAATATTCTAGAGCCATATTCAACTGGACTTTCGGGAGGAGTGTGCGGCACAGTAGTCTTTTTACGATGAAATCGAGGTGAACCTAGGAAATTGATCCGAAGGCTATTAAGCCGAGCTCGCCAGTGATTTGGTGACAACGGAGAAGCAGCAACAACAACGGAGGTGTTAGAAGCAGAACCGCTTTTGTTGACTGTCGTTGAAGAAGTGCTTGATGAATCGCTTAACTGAATTTCGGACCCATTTGTGTTCTCTTTCGAGCTTCCATTTGAAACGGATTTCTGAAAAAAACGATTTTAATGACTTAATAAGAATTCAGACTTGTTGATTATTCAACTTGACTTTATGTTGGATATTAATTAGCTCAATAATCCCTAGAGTCGGACGAGGGTAGTTTTGAAAATTTTACTCAAGGGGCTTATGTCCTTGAGAAAGTGCCAACAAATAGCATCAATCCATGCGCTTCGAGGCTGAAATGTGCGGTGAATGGCTTCTCTTCAAAGGGAAATTAAAGTCATCTTGCTCTATACCAATGAGTTCTTAGATTTCGATGCGTTTCAACTGATAAATAAGGTATTGTTATACTTCGATTTAATTATGCAAACTAATGTTGATCAAATCGTGCAGTTCCCTCAGTAAATGCTGCTAATGGCTTATCACAACGATTTACCCTGACATCTGACATCTTATTGAAATTACTCATCCATTTTGAAAGTACGTTGATTTCCATGGACGAGAAAGGTAGTTGTTTAGCCAGATTGCTCTCTTCCCATTTATACCTCCTATGACAGACGTTTGAAAAAATGAAAAAATGAATTACTTTTAGCAACGTATTCTAACACCCAACACTTTCATATTTCAGAATGATTAGTACCTGTTGACCAAGAATGTAGGTTTCAGCGGTCTGTCATATTTAGAAAACAATAAGCTGATTAATAATAATTGAAAGGTTCCAACCACTGGTCATAAAATTCTCAATTCGAAAAGATAAAATTTTCAAATCGACTTTTAAAATAAAATAAGGCAAGATGAGACCCACTGATTAAGGTGGGTTCAAGAATCTCGGAACTGTATTTGGGTTGATTGCCATCTCCTATGTTTGGCTAATTTCAAGCTAAGCCTGAATGCTGTCTTGAGGTACTAAGCGGTAGCGAAACTGTTAACTATGACAATTGATGGAACTGAGCTCTAAATGGCAGTTTTATGACCATGGCGGCCGATCAATGGCTTAAGGATTGATATATTTATTTATATTAAATGGCAGACGTTCTGATAGTTATCATTAGCCCTTTAGT